ATAGTCGAAAATAGCTAAAATAGCTAACGTGTGGCAAGCCTGTACATCTCTTGATGATTCTTCACCTTCCGATGTCAATATTTTGTCATAGTTATCGTTGGAATGTTCAGCAATCCAAATTGCATTGAGAGCGACATAAATTGTACCGTATTGGCTTAATGGTAAATGGCTTTCTTCCACGAAATTTGAAATTGTAATTTTTAGACTTCGAAATACTATTTTTTCAGAGTCGTCTATTATGTCAATAGTGATATAGTCGGTGTCGTTTAATTTTAATCCTGAGTGATATACACTGTTAATTTTGTTCCATTTGTTGGATGAAACGGTGATCATTTCTGAAGTGAATACCGCATCCGTTCTCTGCAAAAGAGGAGAATCGAAAAAAAACCCGAACTTGTAATCTTTTAAAAGCGGACCACTCAGAACCTATCATATACACTCCTTCTATGCTGACGGTAAAACGGCCTTTTCCTACAAAACAAAGAATCAGGAATTAGAATTGAATTATAGTTCTTTATGAAGAATTTCGTCAATTTTTTTCCGCATTTGAGCTAATATTTTTTTCATCTGTTTTTGTGCCGCGAAAATTTTTGCATGTTTTATCAAACATATTAACTGCTCTGACAATTGGCACTTCCAACCGATCTCGCGCAAGGGCATATGCCCTGCCATATATGGTCGCGCCATTAGCAATGTTAATTGGTAATATCGGAAAAAAATGTGTTTTCTCTATGGTTTATGAATATTTGGTTTTAAATTCGATATATATCCTCAAATTATACTAAAACGGAGTTATTTTTGGTTTCGAATACTCCAATAATATAGGCTACAAGATAATTCTAGGATGAAAAAGACTATTAAATAAGCTGTTTTAGTTTTCATAAGTTTTCATAAGTGTTCTTATTGCGAGCGTCCATGATTATTCTTTGAGCGCCCCCGGACGTTCCGAGCTGACTACGGCCTTGGAAAAAGAAAAAAAAACCGTTAACAAACTCGAACACTCACCTCGTTTAAGCAAGCGCAGTCGCCATTGTGCATTGAAAAAGAACGAAACAATAAACGTTTGAAAGCATCGTCGAAGAAAGGAGAGTACAACAAAAACATTTGTGCAAATTGTTACCAAGAAATTTTTTTCAAGCGCGTATTTTAGTATCGAGTGCGAGGTAAAGTCACAGCACTGGAGCGAATCATTAAAAAAATTCACGGTTTTCGAAATTGTCGGCACAACACGACAGATATTACACTTTCTGCGAACGCAACCGGCCCAAGGCTACGCTATAATTTATCAAGTTTCGTTGAAAAAGCACACATCGACCGTTCAAAATACATAATGGCACAAGGAAACACAAGACGTCGCGACGCGATAATCGAAAAAATACAACGAGCAGAAAGTTTCACACAAAGCGAGGATTTTCACACCGCATCGGTGTTCGAATTGCGTGAAAGATACGAATTGGCTAAGAGCAATTACGAAGCACTAACATATGCCCAGTTGGATTTGGCGGAAAAATATCCATTGGAAATCGGCGTTGTTGACGCGAAATTCGAAGAAGCAGAAAACGCGTATTTAAGAGCGACCGCAGCCATACGAGAAAAAATTCACGAGCAAGAACAAGTGATGTACGAAAGCGATGGCGAAAAAACAGCGCGCGAAAAACCAACCAATCGCGAGGCCGCAGCTGGCACAAGCCAAATGCAAGCAAAAAAGGAACAGAATGCAAGCGCAGCAAAACCAAATGAACAACCGGTCGAACTCCAACCGAATACAGACACAAATGAACAAAAAGAAACGGCAACGGTCCAACAAGAACCGGTTTCACCACCGTACAATGCAAGCAACAAATGGAAGGGTTTGGACTTCGAGGCCGAAACGTTGATGGCCACCGTCAAGTTGGTTTGCACCGAATTAAACGAGCTGTGGCAAATGAAAATCGAGCAGAACGAAGCAAGCATTGGGGATGCCGTAGATACGCTGAATAACGTATTTGCGAACTGTCTGACACTGTGCGATCATGACTGGAGCCGTTCGCTGGCCCACCTGGCAGTGATCAAGCTGCCATTCGCTTTGTATCAAGAATGGGGCATGGACTACAGCATGTCAGAATTCTTAGATTTTGAAACAGTGATGCAACACTTACAAGCAGAGCGCGTGTTATTGGCCGAGACACGGGAGCTGCCACACCCTGTGGCACAGCAAGTTCAACAACCACCGGTGCAAATTATGCAACAGCCCGTCGCGCAACCAATGATTCAACATCAACCGGCCCCACAACAACGGCCGGCCCCAGCCAAACAGATCACGTGTCACAACTGCGGAGACGATCACGTGATTTTCCGATGCCCAGACTTCTTGGGCATGAGCATCAGACAACGCCGCTTGCGAATTCGCGAGCTCGATTTATGCATCAATTGTTTTTCTGCGATGCATCGCGCCAGATCCATGTCATGCCGATCTGGACCATGCAAAAGATGCGCAGCCGATGAACGTCACAACAGTTTGTTGTGCTTCGAGACTATCGAGTAGAGTCCACCATTGTATTTTCCGTAGTCATAGTGTGCGATACCATACCCATAATAAGATAAAGAAAAGCTAGATTTAGGCAATTCAATAGCGTATGATATGTCATAGCGTCAGAACGTATCTCTGTGAGCTCTATATTATTTATCAATTTACTGTGAATCTAAGTAATGTCATAAAATATATTGCTGTGATATCTAAGTATAAGTTACAAGTGGACCCAAAAAAGTGGAGTTCATATTATTCATCAAAAATTTAAGTTATAAATTTGTGATAATAAGTTTCTAAATTTCAATGTGTTTTGATGATTGTTTTGCGTGTGTGAAACATGTTACAATGCCTGTCAAGCATCTAACAAATTAAATACATTAGTGGGCATTAATTCATCTGTTATTAATTACCGCAAGTACTAAAAGTCCAATGCACAATGGAGCATAAGTGCGATAGTACTTGTAAAGGCCGCGGTAACTCGATTGACTGTTTTTCATGCAGTGAAAGCTTCTTTGCAAAATGCCTAAAAATCGACAGACAACTACAATTAAAACTGGATTCACCGAATTCACTCATAAAATTCGTTTGTGCCAAATGCCAGAGCAAACCAAAACGCAATTCGTTATGTACTCAACCTCCACCTCCATCGAGCAATGACTCAAACCTAGGGCTTCAAAACGCACGTATTTTGACAGCTAGATTAAAAAACGTTTGTGCGAAAAAAACGCTTGTCGCATGCGTCGTTATTTTAACGCCGCATAATTTAACGCGTTATTAACGAACGAATACAACAGAAAGAAGAAGAGTAAGCAGAGAAATGTCAACATTTGCAGTGTGCGCCAAACAACAAACAAATGAACTGAGTTTATATGGCAAAAAAACTACACAGTAGTTTTTATTTTAGTTTTATAGTTTAGTTACGTCTCATTTTAAATATGTCAGATCAAGACACTGATGACAATATTAAAAATACCAAACATCCAGTGCAATTGTATTTTGAATATAATGAAAGTTTGAAAAAAAGTGTTTGTAAAACATGTAGAAACGTTTTTAAAGGCCGACATTCCGGAAATCTTTTGAGTCATTTGAAGAGAAAACATCGTATGTTGTACAACGTCATTCAGCCAAAATGCACAGAATTTTGTAAGAAGAAAATTCAACTGAAAAGATCCACAATCACCGTGAACTACAATTTGGAAGAATTAACAAAGTCACTTGTTGCTTGGGTGACATTGGATGCGCGGCCGTATAGTCTATTCAATGATGTTGGTGCAAGAGGAGTTTTGGAACCGATTTTTCAAGCATTCGTCGATGCTGGTATCAACTTTCGGATCAACAGTCAAAATATTGCGAATCATTGTGAGGAATTCGAACAAAAGATTCGAGAGGAAATAACCAGACAGGCTCGCGGAAAGCTGATTTCGGCAATGATTGATATTGTTGATATACAAGATAGGTAAATAAGTCAATGGTCGAATGAAAGCAAATGAATGTGATTGATTTTGTTGTTTTTTAAACGATTTTCATTTCCACTCCATTTTAGATCATACCTTGGCGTCAGCATAAGATTTGAATATGGTGGAAAACCGGTGACACGATTCGTCGGAGTAAAGCGCTAATTTGAATCACACAGGTGCTTTAATGGCACGGTTAATGAAAGACAGCCTCGAAGTATTACAGATTTCTGTGGATGATTTGTTTTCGATCACAGGAGATTGGGCAGCCAACAACGGACGAGCTGTAGATGTTTGGAAATTGTTTCAGTCACACTTACTGGATGATTTCATGGGAATCGATTTGCCATTCGAAACCCAACAATTAGCGTATAACGCATTCATTGAAAAGGAGCTAAAAAAACATTCAAAGTCAATTGCTGATGAAAAGTGTGAAAGATATTGCTTCAAAGTTGGTTGTGCCGCTCATGCCATGGAATTGGCGCTCAAAGATGCATTAAAAGAGTGTAAGGATGAGGAAGACCAAATCGATTTTGCCCGTGAACTGATAAAAAAACTACGCACTGACAATATACAAAATTTAATTACTTTGAGAGAATTGCCGAAACCTCAAGTTGACGTGCCAACGAGATGGTACACCATACATACGATGTTAGCTAGTTTGTTGAAACTGAGAAAATTTGTTGAAGAACTGGGATTAGCAAACAAGAGTTTCGAAACAACGAATGAATTTTGGGGGAAAAAACTGCTGCTAAATCATTTTTGTGTAAACTGTATGAAAAGATAGAGAGTAGAAGAATGGCCGCCGAAGAAAATGAACAATTTGATGAAGCCGCCGGTTTGTCAAAAGAGGATTTGGACGCAGTTCATATTGGTGAAGTTGTCGGCGTGAACGAGTCATTTGCAGCCGATGAAAATGATAGTTTGCTCGAAAGATTGCTGCAATCAAAATGTACGGGGACCCGAAGTACTACAAAGAAAATCAGTTCCTTACTCGACGAATTTGATTTTCAAACAAACCGATTGCCAATCGGAGACAGTGTGATAGAATTTTGGCGAAATAGTTATACAACGCGACCTGAATTATGTAAATTGGCTTCTGTAATGTTCGTCATTCCACCAACTGAAGTAACTTGTGAACAGAATTTTTCGACATTAAAATTCGTATTTAATAAGCTCAGAAATAGCTTAAGCGATGATTCTCTCCAACGTATAATGTTTATCAAGTTGAATTCTGAATTATTTTAAATGTGATATTCAAAGTCATAAATATTATTTACTATTTATTTAAAAATAGAGTTCTAAACGTTATTCGTTTATAGTTCAATGAATATTTTCATAGTAAATTTATATATCTTGGTTTTCAATTATCTGCGTTATTAAACTCATTGTGACTGATCACTTTGAATACTTATGAATGAGTCAAATAAAGCAAAATCGCCAAGTGCAAAGCAATTTAAATTCTATATTTATTTCGTTCTGCAATCAAAATAGTGCTGGAAATAGCAAGTCAATAAAACCTAAGGAAATGAAACATATAGAAATTGTTTTTTTATTTCATATATATAAATTTCAGGCACACATACTTTATTTTGAATTCGATTCAGTTAGAATTATAAATATTCTTATCAGTCTCTTTTATTCTTAAACATTTAAAAAAATGCACTGTTTTCTTTAGATTAACCTACATATTGTCTTTCCATCTATGTTCTTTAAGTTAATATAAAACTAAAAACTTGACGCAATCGGTGAGTTGCTTCTCAAAATAAGAGACTGTGATGAATATTATCTTTTGCTAGAAACTTTGCTAAATATACATATGTATATAATCTTTGATTTTTTCACATTATTTGATCAATTCATTGGAATCATTTGAAAAATGATATGAAAATGCGACAAAATGTTAAATTTAGTGATTAGACTTGATCTTGTCCTGGAATTGTTTGGCAACGGCCTCCGCATATTTGTCGAATCGGGTCAATCGTAGAACATCATCTTGGACCCGAATGGCGAACAATTCTTTAGCAAATGCCAGTTTTTCCTTTTCCTCGTGAAAATCGCCATCAGAGAGTTTGGTTCCACCAAACATGTCGATCAACGAAAATTGTACAAACATGAAATCGTTCTCGGGCGTGTCATAGAGCGGCGATGTGTTCCAGAGTAGGAGAGTTTCAACAATCGATTCTCGGATTGTGACCTCGGCATTTGGGTAGTATCTATCATTGTTCTCCTGTAAAGAGCATTTTTAATTAGCAACTATTTGACTGTTTAGTTTCTGTCAATTCACTTCAATTGAAAAACCTACCCGCAACTGGAACGGAATAAGGCCGGACAATTTGTCTTCGGCTTTCAATGTCTGTGGTCTCGGTATTTCGGCATCTGAATCGACAATCACATCGCCTTCGGATGAATTTTCATCGTTGGAAACTTCACTTTCGTTATCACTGGCATAAAGGTGTCAACGAACACGAACAGTTCGAAAAACAGTTCGAATTTTGTTCGTTCGTTCGTTCGTGGGCGCTTCAAAAATTGACGAACGTTCG